ATTCCCTGTTTCCAGTTCCTATCTGTACCAGTGTACATCCTCTGGTCTAGCAAAACTTGCAAGGTAGAATTCGGATCATGATAGTGGGGGGGAGAGCGGGGGGAGAATTTAGGAACTAGAGGAAAGTTGTATTTTTCATTGTTGCTCCATTGCATCCTGACTGGCTCGTCTCCTCCCCGAAACCCCTCTGCAAGGGGATTTCTAGTGGTCTACAAATGGGCTTTGGGTCTCCACACTGCACTCCCCCCATCATTCACTATGGTAAGATTTTTTGTTCTAATGATGCCTTATACCTGATCCCTTCGACACCTCATGATCGCACAGACTGGTGTGCTTCCTCCGTGTGGGCTTTGTTGGATAAGCATAAGTTTTTAATGTTGTGAGGTCTCATTCGTCATTCTATCTTGTGAACATCTATTTGAGTGTTTGTTATAATATTACCCTAGTTTTACAAACGATTGGGTCCCCTAATTGAGTCCCATGCTCTTGCTAAGGAACTTTAAGCTATAACATTTAGGCCTTTACTCTATTTTGAGTTAGCTTTTGTGTCTGCTCTGAGGTATGAGTATGACTACAGTTTCATTTGTTTGCTGGTGGTTTGCAAGTTCTATTTATTTCTGCCCCACTGTATGGACTTTGAACCCTTGTTGGAAATAAGTTGTCCTTAGAAGGACATTTCATGGGTTTATGTGTCTATCACTGAACCAACCAAGCTGTACCGATTACATTGGCTATATAGTCTTTTTTTTGAGGGAGGGGGCTGCAAGACTGTCAGTTTATTCTTTTTCTATATCGTTGCTTGCAGAACGGTGCTGGGATTTATTGTATTGGGATTTCATTGAATCTGTCAATCACCATTTGTGTGTATGTATGTAATTGACATTTTTACTATGTTATCTTCCAATCCATGAGCATGGGATGTTTTTCTGTTTTTAGACTCTTCCACTAGTGTTTTATATTTTCATTGTGTGTTTTTTCTATGTCCATTGTTAGATTAATTTTTAGGTATCTTATCAATTTGATGTCTGTTGTAAATGATATTATTTTCTGGATATTCAGAGTAGTCTTTATTAGTATAAAGGAACTCAACTGATTTTTGTGTGTTGGTCTTGTACCCTGCGACATTGTGTATTCTATCACTTTTCTTAAGGAATCTTAACAGTCTTATTTGTAAAAGACCATTCTATCTGTGAAGAGAGAGGGTTTTACTTCTTGCTTCCTTTCTGATTTAGATAGAATTCATTTATCTTTCTTGCCTACTGCTCTGACTAGGACTCCTAGGACAGTGTTAAATGAAAATGGCGATGATGGGCATCCCTGTCTCATTTAGATTCTCGAAGGAAACGCTCTTAGACTTTCTTCATTGAGTATAATGCTGGCTATTGATTTTGCATGCTGTTGTTAGGTGCCATCCAGTCAGTTCTGACTCATGGTGACCTTGTGTACAATGGAAGAAAATACTGGCTAGTTCCAATGCCATCTTCATGATTGTTATTTGTGGTTGAGTCCATTGTCATAGTTGCTGCATCAGTCTATATTGATTAGGATTTTCTCCATTTCTTTGAGTCCCTATTTTAGCAAGTATGATGACTTTCTTTTCTTTCATGTCATGGATTAGTTTCTCTTGAAAATATGTCAAAAGTACTCAAGACAAGTCTTGCCATCCTTGCTATTACCTTAGTTATGTTGACAAGCCCTCCTCCTATTCCTATTCTGCAAAAACGTTTTATTAGGAAATGTGATTGCATTTATTGATTGCCTTTTTGGCATCACTTGATATAGTCATAGGGTTCTTTACCATTGTTTACTTGTATGGTATATTGAAAGAGTTATTGGTCCATAATATCCCTTCTTTTGCAGATTTCTTTGCCTGATTTGGGTACCAAGGTTATACTAGTTTCATAGAAAGAATTTGCTAGTGTCCCTTGCTGATCTGTGTTTTTGAAAAAAATTGAGTGGGATTGGGATTAATGCTTCCCTGAATACATGCTAGAATTTTCTGTCGTAGTCATCTGGTCCTGGACGTTTCTGTTGAGGCAAGGGTTGGTTTGTTTTGTTTGTTATGATGTATCTTTTCTTTTGTAAAGGGTCTGTTTATTTTTTCTACCTTTATTTGCATTAATTTGTAAAGACTGTGTGTTTCTAGGAATTTGTCCATTTCATCTGAGTTTTCAAATTTGTCGGAGGAGTATTTTTTCATAGTAATTGGTTATGATTTATCTGTTTGATTTGTTGCAATATTAATCACCAATTTGATTAGTTAATTTTGTTATTTACCTATTTTAGATTTATTTTCTTTTGTCAAGCTAGCCAGTGTTCTGTCTGTTTTGCTGATCCTTTTAAAGAATCAACTTCATATTTTATTGGTTTCTTTTTATCGTTTTCCTGTTCTGTTGTGCATAGTGTCGCTGTGACTTGCAACCAGTCCAGTGGCACCTAACAACAACAGCAATGTGTTTATTCTGTGCTGATCTTTATTATTTATTTTTTGTTGTAGCTTTTGGCTCCTTTCTTATCTATTCAAGTTGTTGACTTAAATTAATGATGGTTAAATTAATGATGCGCGATTTGTCTTCTTTTTTAATATAAATTTGTTGCTATGAATTTTCCTCTGAGAATTGCTTTTACTTTTCCATGGAGGTGTAGTCATATTTTTTATTTATATTCATTTGATTGTCAGAACTTTAAATTTTTACTTTTGAGTCTCTATATGATTGTGTTTGTTAACTTTGTTCTTTTTTCTTGGTTCTCTTGAGACTTATATATTTAGTTTTGTCTTTTATTTCATTTTACCTCTGTTTTAATATATTATTGTGTTTCTTTTACTTTTCTTAAATCATTCTTTTCCTTTACTTCCTTTAATTCCTTTGATCTTTTTAATTGCCACATCTACTCTCATTTTTATTCTTCCATTTGTTCCCTGGTGTTTTTAGTGTTTGTATTTTCTTTAAACCTATTGAGCGCTGCAGTCTGAAATTTATCAGTTTTTTGTATTTGGCCTGCATGGGAGAAATTTTATCTCCTTCATGTTTTCTCTTTCTTTTGACCAGTCCTTTAAAAATAAAAATGTGTGGTTTATAATTTTTTAGTTGACTTTTTTATCTTAATTTACTTATGTAAAATATGGTGTGATGGGTTATACATGATGTTCACCTGCTGCTCCGTGGGAAAAAGAAGGGGCTTTCTGCCTCTGGAAAGACTTACTGCCTCTGAGATGCAAGGGGTAGTTTTATTCTGACCTGTAGGGTTGCTATGGGTTAGAATTGACTCAGTGGAAGTGAGTTCGGTTTGGCTTTGGATTCTTATTTTTGTGGGAAATTTTAGTGACTGAACGCCCTGGTGATTCAGGGACCAAGAACCCAGCTGCCAACTGATAGGCTGTGACCACACTGACAAGGTGCCCCACTGGGCAAAGATGTGGCAGCCCACATCCTTGGGCTCACAAGCACATGGATCAGTTTCACTAGTCTCACAGGTTTGGTCTCTTCTCCTGAGAACCATGAGTGTACCTTCTATCCTTCTTCCTTCTGAATGCATGTTCTATGTCTCCCCAGTGAGTACCCCTGCCCAGGCTGATCCATGGTTTTTCACTAGGTATTCTTACCCTACTGCCCATCCTGTTATACCAGTTCACATGCCTGTCCATCTCAGGCTGGAGTGAGATTGAACAGCAATCTCTCAGTGTGGTCTCCCTTCATCACCAGCAAACCCCCCCCCCCCCACCAAGGTTCAGAGCCCATGAAGTCCCAGAACCACTTTGTACTTCCTTAAGAACAGTTGATATCCAATTTCCTTAGGTTACCTCCTCTGTGTTCCCACTCTGCGATGTTACCCAGCCCAATCCCAAAATGACTCTGTGAGTTAGGCTCCTGATGTTTTTGAGTACTTCTTCCAGTTTCTGTTTCATCCCTCCTATCCTCTTGACCCCTCTTGGAAACTCACCCGTCCTCTACAACACTTCCATTGCAGTCCAGAGTAGTGAGATCTGAGTTTGCCTTAGATGTGTTTGTTAGTCAGTGGGCTAGTTGCCATCTTACTCCCCCCTGAGTAAGCATCAAAAACACCACCGTCTTCTGTCTTTCATGAAGCATTATAAAGATAATGGGTGGATAAGTTTGTGATTGTATTTGACTAAGATGATAACACTGTGTTCTGCCAAGTCTAAACAATCTTAAACTTGTTAGTGCTTTATGTTTCTGTGAAAACAGAAATTCTAAAAATTGCTGGTGGCATAGTGGGTTACATATTATGTTGTTAACTCTCCAGTCACTTCGCAGGAGAAAGATGAGGCTTTCTCCTGCTATAAAAAGTAGTGGGCAATTCGAGCCTGCCCTATAGAGTTGCTATGAGTCGGAATTGACTCTCTGGCAGTGAGTTTGGTTGACTTTGGTCTAATGTTTGGGGAGTGATGTAAAAAATGAATTCATTCTGTAGACCTCAACCCTCCCATGAGATTAATCATACAAATTCATGTCATGTGTATTCCTTTACCTTTTTTCCGCATATCTACTTCTGTTTATTTTTAATGGTCTAGTATATAAGTAAATAAGGAGCTTATTTTAACACCCCTATAAAGCTATAAAGGAGACTAGGCATTCAGATAACTTTGAAAAAAGATGGGTATTAAAACTCAGAATAAAAAGTGCCAGGCTTTAAAATAGAGAGTTAGAGAACATTGAATCATTTTCTAATTTATTTGATTATTGTAATAGTGTGGCTTAGTCCATACATTTTCTGGTAGATATTTCCAGTGTACAGTAACACTATAAACTATGGAAAAAGTGTCGTGGGGGGTGTGGTGGAGACTGGTGGCTTTATAAAAATGGAGAAGAGTCAGACAGAAGGTGGTCAGAGGAAGGAGACAATGTGACAAAGTAGCCACTAGCCTCTATGTCAAGTCTGTGAGAATGAATGAAATGTGAAAGTGCTTTTGCTTATAGGTATGGTATGATACTAGTTCGATATTTCCTTAACTATTTCTATTTTATTGTTATTTTCAGAACACTGACACTTTGATTTAATGAAGAGCAAACAGTGATGGTGGAAAAGCAATACACTCACTAAGGATTACGACTTCTCGCTGCTACGGACCCTTGTGTTAAGGAATTCTCCTTGCTTAGCAGTTGGCCAGCAATTTGGTCCGCCTGCATTGGCGCCTGCCTTCTCTTTACCTTGTCATTACCACAAGAAATCCCAGTCGGAATGGAACAGTAGAGCTCTAAGTGCTGTGGAACGTGATAAACTGACCCTCACTTTTTAGAGTTGCTTCCCACTCACGCACAGAAATCCATTCGTAAAGTGAAAGAGCCAAGCCCTTGTGAATACTTCTATTGAACATGACTCATGGAGAAGAGCTTGGCTCTGATGTGCACCAGGATTCTCTCGTTTTAACTTACCTAGAAGGATTACTAATGCATCAGGCAGCCGGGGGATCAGGTACTGCAGTCGACAAAACGTCTGCTGGGCACGATGAGGAAGATCAGAACTTTAACATTTCTGGCAATGTATTCCCTGCCTGTCAAAGTAATGGTCCGGTTCTCAATACACACACATATCAGGGATCTGGCATGCTGCATCTCAAAAAAGCCAGACTCTTGCAATCGTCTGAGGACTGGAATGCAGCAAAGCGGAAGAGACTGTCTGAGTCCATCGTAAATTTAAACGTAAAGAAGGAAGCTTTGCTGGCTGGCATGGTTGACAGTGTACCTAAAGGCAAACAGGATAGCACACTACTGGCCTCTTTACTGCAGTCATTCAGCTCCAGGCTGCAGACTGTTGCTCTGTCACAACAAATTAGGCAGAGCCTTAAGGAGCAAGGGTATGCCCTCAGTCACCAGGCTTTACAAGTGGAGAAAGATTTAAGGTGCTATGGTGTGGCATCCAGCCACTTAAAAACTTTGTTGAAGAAAAGTAAAGCTAAAGATCAAAAGCCTGACACCATTCTTCCTGATGTGACTAAGCACCTTGTGAGAGACAGGTTTGTGGAGTCCCCTCATCATGTTGGGCAGGGCGGAACGAAGGTCCTGAGTGAGCCCCTGTCCTGTGCCGCACGATTGCAGGCTGTTGCAAGCATGGTGGAGAAAAGGGCTAGTCCTGCCACTTCACCGAAGCCTAGCGTGGCGTGTAGCCAGTTAGCGCTGCTCCTATCTAGTGAAGCCCATTTGCAGCAGTATTCTCGGGAACATGCTTTAAAAACACAAAATGCAAATCAGGTGGCAAGTGAAAGACTTGCAGCTATGGCCAGATTACAGGAAAATGGCCAGAAGGATGCTGGCGGTTTCCAGCTCGCAAAGGGAACGTCAAGCCATCATAATGGTCAGACAAGGACATCATCAAGCAAACCAATTGCAAGCAAGAGCAATTCTTCAACATTTCAAAGTCCCACGGGTATCGTCCCTTCTTCCCCCAAAAATCCAGGCTATAAGAATTCCCTAGAGAGAAACAATGTAAAACAAGCTGCAAGCAACAGTTTGCTTTTACATCTTCTTAAGAGCCAGACTATACCTAAGCCAATGAATGGGCACAATCACAGTGAAAGAGGAAGTATTTTTGAGGAGAGTAGCACGCCTACCACTATCGATGAATATTCTGATCACAATCCTAGTTTTACAGACGATAGCAGTGGTGATGAAAGTTCATATTCCAACTGTGTTCCCATAGACCTTTCTTGCAAACATCGAATTGAAAAGCCAGAATCTGACCAATCTGTATCTCTAGATAACTTAACTGAGTCTTTGCTAAACACTTGGGATCCAAAAGTCCGAGACATAGATATCAAAGAAGATAATGATACCTCAAAGAATTCTAAACTAAATTCACACCAGAAAGTTACACTTCTTCAATTGCTACTTGGCCATAAGAACGAAGAAAGTGTGGGGAAAAATGCCAGCCCTCAGGGAATACACAGTGATGTGACCAAGTTCAATTCACCAGAGTATACCAGGACTTCTGTCATAGAAAGCCCCACTGCAAATAGGACTGCTACTCCCGCGAGCACTCCACCATTACTTACATCCACCAATGCAGACTCCCCCATCAATCTTTCTCAGCCATCTCTGGTCATCAGATGGAATACTCCATCTTATGGCTGCAATACGCCATGTGAAAAGCTACTGAGTACTGCCTCTGACCACTTGATAGACCTAACAAAGAGCAAAGACCTCCAAACAGAAAAACCAGTCCAAACTGAAGGTGCACAAAACTCTGCAAATTTTAGCGCCAGTAAGCTGTTACAAAACTTAGCACAATGCGGGATACAGTCTTCTCTCCCCGTGGAGGAGCAGAGACCCAGTAAGCAGCTGTTAACGGCAAAAACAGATAAACCCATAGGCATGGTTGATCGATTGAATAGCCCTCTGGTCTCCAATAAAACGACTGCAGTCGAAGAAAATAAAGCATTCAGTAGTCAGACAGCAGTTCCTGAGCCAGGACTCTGTGGTTCTGAAATAGAGAATCTGCTTGAAAGACGGACTGTCCTCCAGTTGCTCCTGGGGAACCCCAACAAAGGTAAGAGTGAGAAGAAAGAGAAAACTCCCCTGAGAGAGGAGAGTACTCAGGAACACACCGAGAGAGCTTTAAGTGAGCAAATAGTAATGGTGAAGATAAAATCTGAGCCTTGTGATGACGTACACAGTCATAATACAAATGTGCACTTGAGCCATGATTTGAAGAGTGGCCCATTCTCAGGCATGGCTCCCCCCATGCCCAAAGGTGCAGCTGCCTTGCCGGCCTCCGAGGATGTTAAAACAGAGCCCATCTCGCCTCAGGACTTTTCTTTCTCAAAGAATGGTCTGTTGAGTCGATTGCTGAGACAAAATCAGGAGAGCTACCTCGCAGACGACCTGGACAGGAGCCACAGAAACAGTGACCTGACACTTGTAGAATCAAAGAATCTTTGCGTGGTTCCTAAGAAAAGGAAGCTTCAGGCTGAGCCTTTAGAAAATCCTTTTAAAAAGATGAAAACTAACATGGTTGATGCTGCAAACAATCACAGTGCTCCAGAGGTTCTGTATGGGCCCTTGCTTAACCAGCAAGAGCTGAAATTCAGCAGAAATGATCTTGAATTTAAATATCCTGCAGGCCATAGTTCAAGCAATGAAAGTGAACACAGGAGTTGGGCTAGAGAGAGCAAAAGCTTCAATGTTCTGAAGCAGCTGCTTCTCTCAGAAAACTGTGTTAGAGATTTGTCTCAGCACAGGAGCAACTCTGTCGTCGACAGTAAAAAGAAAGGACACAGAAGTAATGGAGCTAGTCGCAAACCCGAGTTCAGCATCTCCTCCCTGAATGGCCTGATGTACAGCTCCACTCCACCCAACAACTGCATGGAGAACAGGACCTTTTCGTACCCAGGAGTTGTCACGTCTCCCGTGAGTCCTCCTCTCCCTGAGCATTTAGGTTGTGGGGGTTCGAGACCAGACTCTGGGCTATTGAATGGTGGTTCTGTGCCCAGTGAGAAGGGACCCATTAAGTGGGTTATCACAGATGTGGAGAAGAATGAATATGAAAAAGACTGCCCAAGACTGACCAAAACTAACCCGATACTGTATTACATGCTCCAGAAAGGAGGGAATTCTGTTCCCAGTCGAGAAACGCAGGACAAGGACATGTGGATGGGGCCTTCATGTGCCGATGGTGGGCTCTCACGGGTTGCAGTCAAAGAAGAGTTACTTCCTGCTGCAGAAACTGCAGCTTCGTTCTTTAATTTAAGAAGCCCTTATAATAGCCATATGGTAAATAATGCTGCTCGTCCGCATTGTGCAAATGGAGAAGTGTATGGATTTCTGGGAAACATGCTAACAATAAAAAAGGAATCAGAATAAAATGTACCTGCTATCTAGCTTTGGATCTTTTAAAAACTAATTAGTAGAAACTTGGATCTGTTATAAATAAGAGCATGATTTGAGAAAAGCATGGTATAACTGAAACTTTTTTAAAATTTTATTTTGACAAGTATTGGTTACTGGTGATGTTTAAATAGACATGCGCCTTTTTATTTATGTTAGCTGTCATGAGGGAAGTACTGAACTAGCAATTGATTGTTTTAACACTTTAGTATGCATCAGGCATCAACTGTGAGTAGCCTATGAATGAAATTATTTGATAATCATGAATAATAGGCATAAATTAAAATGTAAATCTCCATCCACAGTAGATCACTGCATTTTTGTTGCCTTTCATCCCACCCTTTATCGGGGTACTTTGTTTTGCTTTGGGGAACTCAGTTCACATTACACATTTTTTTAAAGTCCAAATAACTCTATAAATAATAAGTATGAAATTAAAAAGTGAGAGCTGATTCTCTTTCATTATCCAACTCAGTACTAAATTATGGGGATACTGGGGGAAATGCTTACATTTTTCACTTTTGCTAAAACAAAACAAAACAAAACATTTTTTAACTCTCGGAGGGGTTTTTGTGATTCCGTAAGTCTCTACTCCAACCAAGCCCTTTTCAATACATATCTTTCAACCTTGTACTACTTAGTAAAAATTGATTACAATTGAGGAAGATATGATAGATTCTTTAACAAAGACAAGGCAGATTTCAATTTTTGTATTTTAACTACTTTACTAAATTAATACTCCCCCTTTTACAGAATTAGGAGAGTGAAAATTTTATCTTCAGGTGGCTTCCTAAACAGTCGAGTTTTAAGCAGTTGTTTTTACCAGGAGCAACATGACTTTTCGTTAGACGGTTTCTCGCCACCGCTCGTAAACGTTCATCTCACCGTTCCCGTGGTTCCTGTGAGTCCTAAGGCAGAGTTTCTTATCACCGACGCAGATGAACGGTAGAATCATCTGGAGTGCTGGTTTTACAATGTAGATTCCTAGACAACCTCCCAGATGTGCAGGATGATGATCTCCATTAAGTGGACATGGGAATCCTCCATCTCCCTCTTAACACTTGTCCTAGGCTTTTCTTCGTCAAACTGAAGTTTGAAGATTATTACTTAGGCTTTTCTCAGAACAGAATACGATTGTGGAAAAAACCCACAAAACAGCAAAAAAAACCCCTATTTGATGTTTATCTTTCCCCCCAACACATTCACACATCAACTTAGAAATTTTTAATATTGTAGCACATGTATTTACCTTTATGTCTTTGGAAGTCGGGTTCACAATACTTTTTATGACAACGATGACAACAGTTGGGGGTTGCTGGGACAACTTTCATACCTGGCTCAACATCTCAGGAAAATCTGTGATTGTACATTCTGATGAGTAGCATCTATTTCATTAGCCTTAGGGATGGAAAAACAGGGCCACTTACCACCAACTCAGGTGATTCTAGGATGGTTTGGAAATTTCTCCTGAATACATCCTTAACTTCTATTAAAACCGTTATCTTAAAACCAATGCTGACAAATTTTTGAAAACATTTAGTTCAAACCCAAGAAAGGTACTGCACTTAGAGAGACTCAACAAAAAGTACAACGGGCACAGATAACAGACCAAATTGTACACAGTCCCTCCACTGGACCTACTGTTTCCGAATCTGGATTGAAAGTGAGCCGTGGCATTGTCTTGGAAGAACTGACTGTGTTATTGAGCCACACGTGGCGTCTGATCTTGTAGCAAGTTCATGCCTGGTTTTCACAATCCATAATTCATTCACCAAATACTTTGTTTTCAATTGTGAACCAGGTTAAGCAACTGATAAAGCAGAAATTACTGTATAAGCAACTATTAATTAGAAATCTATTTGAAGTTGTTCTACTCGAAGTTGTTTCTAAGGTTTTTATATTTGAAAAAACGGGCGTTATTTCCTAACATCTAAAATCCTAAATGATTACTTTTTCTCAAAATGCTTTGTAAATAATCACTGGACATATTATAAAATAATAGAAGTGAATCATAATGCTACATCATAGAGCAATGAAGTCATATACTTATTCTGAGAAGAAAACTACAGGCCGGTGACTATATTGAGCTCCATCCCTTATTTACTGTGCAAAAATTTTGTCTACACTAGATCAATAAGCTTTTTAACAAGTCATTTTTGTGGTTTTTTTTTTTTGTTTTGGTTCTGCGTGCTATTTGAAAGTTCTGGAGCCTTAAAGGTATCCATTAAAAAAAATAAATATCTTCCCATGATACAGGAAAATGGACTTTTTACAAGGAAGTTAAATGTGAAATTTAGGTAGAGGAAAAGAACATCAAGGGCAGCACTGGTATTTTTGGTTGTTTGATGTTTTCTGTTCTTGTTAATGAAAGGAATAAGAATGTGTAAATACATAAATAATTGTAACTACAGAGAATGCGGTTCTGGTTTACTGGGCAGAGCTCCACTTTTGGGTTGAGGGTGATTTTAAAGAAGAGCAAATACGAGAACATACATCCAGCAATTTGTTTTGCATATGTAAACACAAGGAGGCAAATGTACACATTTCCAAGGCCTACTTTAGGTGTGCACACAATTTCTTCCTAATAAAGTCATTTGTGAAAGGGTACTCTAGCTCTCATGGACATCAGTAAGGTAGCATTACCTGTTTATTCTCTGCTGCATCTTACAAACGAGTAAACTGGTGAAAATATATATTTTATATATACATATGTGAGTGTGTGTGTATATATATATAAAATATGTATATGTATACATATATATATGGACTTGTTACATGAACATGTTAAAATTGGTTTTTAAAGGTGATGTAAATAGTGATTTCCTTAATAAAAAAACATATTTTGTATTGTTCTAATGCAACAGAAAAGCCTTTTAATCTCTTTGGGTTATGTATATTCCATGTATAAGTGTAAATATAATCAGACAGGTTTTAAAAATGTGCATGTATGTATACAGTTGCAAGTCTGGACAAATGTATCAAATAAACCTTTTATTTAAGTTGTGATTACCTGCTGCATGAAAGTGCATGGGGGACCCTGTGCAACTGTGCATTTGGCAAAAAACGTCTTAACGAGTCAGATCAGATGTTCATCCCAACATGACAGTGTTCCCTTTCTGGACATGACTGCTGTGGTTTCAGCATTGTGGAAGAATGTGCTTTGAATCCAAGGGTCTTAATTTGTTTTTGTTTTGTTTTTTAATCAAGCCAACCACTTTTCAACATAAGAATTGACACAGCTTCTTTCATGAATTTTTCAATCCCATTGGAAACCATGATATTACCGGGAGTATTCCAGTATAAGCAAATGCCGGAATATGCAGGCACATTGCTGCTCGTGGTATGGATTCTGGGGTTTACACAACCAATTTTGATGCGACGTGCTCAGTAATATAACTTGTTATTTTTATTAGAAATTTAATTTCTTCGTTTGATGTCATGAAACTGTACATACTGCAGTGTGGAATTTGGGTTTTGTTTTTTAATCTTTTAGTGTTTACCTGCTGCAGTGAATTTGAATAAATGAGGGGAAAAATTCAATTTCTCTGGTCTGAAATGACTGTGATTTTTGTGGATTCTCTGTAGTAGTTAAGTTTTCCCAGAAACTTGAATAATCAAGTCCCCAGTAATGAAAATAGCAGCAGATCTCCAAGGATACTTTGTCCTTCTCAGAAAAAATACAGGGGGTGGGGGTGGGGCGACACAAGAGGAAGATAGCCAGCAAGTTCGTGCGGCTCCTGTCAAGACACGGGAGTATGAGCTACTCAGCCCGACAAAATGCCTGTCGTTGGACAATGTTCAAGCTTTATGTAATAAAGGCTTGGTCTTAAGGTTTCATTAGAGGGCTTTTAGCCCCTTTCCAAAGGGCTTTTATGTTAAATAAAAGGGAGAAAAGTCAGTTTCCAGAAGTGAATGTCCATGTGGAGACAACTCACGTGTAATATTTCCTACATGGAATCGTTCGCGGTAATAAATACAAAAGCGCAAACACTGGCATCAAGTCGGTCCTGACCCACGGTGGGCCTCCCCGTTGGACAAAGAAGAGCTACCCCATTGGCGTAGAGCTAGTAGTGTGCTCATCTCTCAGGGAGCAGCTTAAGGGTCTGCATCTTTTGCATAGTAGCACACTTAGCCACTGTGCCACCATAGAAGATAAAAAATATAATATCTGCTACATAAGCCATTGTCTTAGTTGCCCAGTGCTGCCGTAATGTAAGGAGGGGACTTTAAAGAACAGAAATGTATTTCCTCCCATTTCCAGAGGCTGAAAGTCCAAATCAGAGCCTCAGCTGTGCAGCTTGCTGCTTTGGGGCTAGCTC